GCCATCTTGGCTCTGCCTCCTCCCCCTGCCTCCCCCAATGATGTTTTAAGAGAATTTATAAGATGCCTTACTGAAATTGGGTTACACTATGAAGTTGGTATATGATGTCTATAGTGTTTTCTTGATTTATCATAAGCCCTGCCACAAAGGAAATTAGGATAACTGAGCAGTTCATCTTGATGAACCCATATTGACTCATCATTCACAAGGTTATTAGGAGGTTCTAATGAGTTAATGTTAAGTGATGTACAAATGTCAGATATCATTATCACCTTTTTCTATGTTTCTTTTTTATAAATGCTCTTTCCTATAATAATGCATGTCAGATTTTTACCAGGAATCAAAATCAAAGTCAAGGTTACTGGCTTATAGTTTGTAGAATCTGTTTTCTTTCTCTTTTTGAAAATCAGGATATTTACAAGTCTTCAGCTCTCTCATTCTTTGTGATTTTTCAAAGATCACCACCAGCAGCTCAGCAATCTCATCTATAAGTTCTTTCATGCCCTGGGATGTAGATGTGTTTGTTCCTGATCTCATGAAATCTTTGAGGCTGTAGCTGGGTGCTGTCTTAAATGTACTCCTTTATTTCCAAATTCAGATTGCCTAGATGTTAGAGAATCCATTTAATTCTGGACAGATCCTCCTTAAAATTGCTTCTCCTTGTTAATAATTTTTGATCTACACTTCTCAGTGAACAGTGAGAGGTAGAACCAAACTACAAGAAGAAGGCTATCCTGGAAAGGAAGAGCTGTCTAACATCTGTGGAAATGGTAACTGAAGCTATAAAATGAGATTATGTCAGTAAGTATTCAGGTGATGAGCAAGAGTTTAAGGACAAAAGCCCCAGGAGATGTTAAAATAGCAAGATAGAAGCCTTAGGAGGATCTCTTTTAGAAAATCTTCCTACAAATGCTGCGTATGCACAGCAACCAGAGGAGCCCCAAGTGCAGAAGCAAAGGTCAGTGAAGACTAATAGAACCCTAAAATGGCCATACCAATGTACAGATAGACAATATACAAAAAATATGGATGAAAAGGGAGCATTCCTTCACAGTGAAGCCTGTGAAATACTGGAATGGGAGACTGAGGGCAGCTATAGAATATGCTCTAGAGAACCTTGAAACGAGAATAGCTTCTCATCTGTTTCCAGTGATTTAAGTGTGGGTCAGTCTAACAGCAGCACTGATGGCCCAGACAACCACTTAAGGATCCTTTCAGCCCTAAGAGTCCAATTTGTCCAATTAGTAATATACAACATTTTTCATTTGTTGACCTCAAACTTCATTGATTTTTCTATCACATAGTTCTTATTTTAAAAGGTAAGGAAACTGAGGTATTGAGACAATAAGGTAGAAAGCAATTATCAGGTGTTGTGGCTTGCTTTATCTGTCAGACAACTGGCATTGCTTAGATAAGCCTTAAAGATATATGAACTGGATGAGGCCCTAAAGCATGTAAATGAATAGTTTTTCTTTTGAGCAATATACATAGTGAACTAAATAGATATAGGGACTGTACCTGTCATTTCCCTAGTGTGGAGAACTCTCTGGTGAAGAAATTTTCTCTACCAATGCAGGCTGGTATCTCCTCTGAAACATAGTCCTACGAGAATTGCTCAGAGCAATGAAGACATTAAGTGACTTTCCCCAGGTCAGATAGCTTGTATCTATCAGAAGTTACTTGAACCCAGGTCTTCCTGGTTTTGTGGCCAGCTCTATTTGATATATCACCACTGCTCCTCAAGGAGCTAAATAAATAATGAAAACCTTATTAATTCAAATTTTGTGATCAAAGTCTAAAGAGAAGCTGGGCTGAGTTTTATCTTTATTCTGTTTGTGAAGAAAGAATTTGCTAAACAAGTAATAGGATAAGCAAGATTGCAGAGAGAATGTATGTGCTATATAAGAGAATGGACTAGTATATATAGGAAGGTTAGTAATATACATTACAACAATTGATAAGATAAAGACAAATGATTTTCATCTCCTAAAGGCCTATACTAGGCAACACTTTGGTAGTCTATTTCAAGGTACTGTACATACTTGAAAGAAGAACATTCCCTTAAAAATATCATAATCCTGATTTTTCACTAATGTAGATTTGTTTTCCTCCCAATTAGTCTTCATTGTAAAGTTTATTATATTTAATTCAGAATATATTCATTTTTAGCATTTCAAAGCATGCTTCTGTCCTTAAAATAAAATTTCAGGTTTAAATGTGAAAAAAAATCTACAAATTATTTTAAAAAACCCCTCTATCATGACAAAATTGAGAATAGTTATTCAAACACACATGGGGCCTCTGATAAAAGGTAATTTGATTTAATAATTTTAATTTACATTGTTAATGTACAAGAGCATTTCTTTCAACTTATTGGTTAACATACACACACACATACACACACACACACACACACACACACACCCCACTGCTATTAGAAGAGCAGAGAAACTTCTGAAACACTGTCATCTGAAAGAAAAGCAAGGCACTCTCCTTCAACAGCTGGCATATTCCTGATTTCAGCCTACTGAAGGCATGTTCACACCGAGAGAGCTCTAAAAAAGGGAAGAATCATCTGCTGTCTTTTTTTTTTCTCTAGTGATCTCTCATTGATCATTCATTCTGCACAAACAAGTCTGTCAATGTCAATAAAGCTGGACGAAATGAGTTGGGAAGATATTGAAGTTAAAAATAATTGTGGAAGACTGAAGTATACTGGCCACATTCAGCTCAGCACCAGGATCTGAACCCCAAACTGGAAACCTTGTTTGCCCTTTCAAACAATATATCTTATTCAAATAGCCTAACTTTCAGTGAGCCCAACTGTTATGAAATGGTATGATGCTAACTAGCAGTTCACTCTGAACACTAATAATGATGTGTGTATGCAAAATTTCTAATTCATTCAAATCCATTTTAAACTTAGTCTGACACTAAGAAACATTAGCTTTCCTGATATTTAATAATGTTTATTATGTTTGCATATAAGCTCAAAAGTCAATGCAAAAAACAATACTGTCCTAGAGGTTTATCTTCAGGTAATCTGAAGATAGCAATAGTTTCCTAAATGTTATCTTCAGATAAGTTGAGAATATTAGCTATAATGATTAAAAGTATGTTTTCCTAATGACCATGCTATAAGTCTTGATAATAACCTTTCATAAAAGTAAATACAAACATAATAAATGATTAAAATATCAGATGATTATGACAAATCATACAATGACTTGACATCCAGGTTATCCTTTGCAGCAAATAGGCAATTCATTTGGCATTTGTTTGATTGTATAATTTAATCTCATATAAACAACATAGGTTTTTTTTCCTTTAAAAGAATAAAGCCAAAATTGTTTAAAGCTAACAAAAGCTATGGTGACATCAGGTTGACATTCAAAGTTTGTTCCTTAGCAAAATGACGAAAGAAATTTTGACTTGATATAGTGCATATAATATAAAGAGTTTTAGGCTTAAAATCTTCAAATATTATTTGAATTTAGCAAAACATGAGCAAGATCGTAATATCAAAGTGCTAAACAGTAAGGACTGTCTTAAAAGTCACTGCAAATAAACCATAAAAGAACTGCATGTATAAGTGACATGTATTATACAAATGGTTAATTAATAAAAAGACACATTATAAATATATGTATATATAACTTGTACTATGTATATATATATATATTTATAGTTTTCTAATTGGTGTATCCAAGCCACTGTGAACACTCCACTTGATCACTCTGTAACAGCTCCCAGGAGCTGGCAGTCACTGCAATAAATACAGGCAAAGCTATAACAATATACCATGCATACAAACTTTTATACAAAGAAGAACACTATGCAACAAAGTATCTCATATTAATATGGCATCAACAGTATAAACATACAAAAAGGGAATACAAACACGGAATGTTTAATCGCAGCCTGCTTTACTATGCCTTCCTAAGCACTTACATTCATATGATTTTTACAAGGCTTGCTTGTTCTTGAAAATTGTCTCAGGTCTGTTTTTTTGTGTTTTTGTTTTTCTGTTTTTTTTTTTCCTTTCTTTCTTTCTTTCTTTCTTTCTTTCTTTCTTTCTTTCTTTCTTTCTTTCTTTCTTTCTTTCTTTCTTTTTTTTACTAATTTGAAACCTAGATTAAATTATATTTAAATTTTTTTTTTACTATCCCTGATGCTCACCCTGTATAATCCAATGACTATTTATATTTACTTCCTTATCTGGGGAACAAGTGCTCAAATGAATCACAAAATGTCCCTGTGTTTTTCAAGTACATATGTCCTTTAGACATTACACTAATGCAAGTTTGGGAAACTCTGGTTGTGTCAGTATGATGGCTCCAAATCAGTTGTATGTGATTAGTCTCATATTTTCAAATTTCTTTAGGTTGTTGAAAAGATGGTTTTGCAAATAACTAGACTTGTGGTACAATGCTTGAATTCCATCATGAAGACAGATGAAAAATCTTGGCCTCAACATCACAGTCTAATATTTCAGGTCAATTGGGTGAAGCCTCTGTTGTGTAAATTAGTGCATGTAATTAAAAAAAACTTTTTAAATTTCCTTATTAAAATAATTAGAGTTAATAAACAAGACTTACTAAGACAGCACTTTAAAAATGGCACTTGAACATGGAAGCTAACAGCCATTGTTATTTTTGCTCTATTTGAGTTATATGAAATCCTTAATTTCACATAATTTTTAAAAAATGAACTTCTGTTTAGTTTGCACCACATATGTGCCCTTGATACAGGAAGTATATTCTAAAGGTATCAATCACAAGACATATACTACCCTGGCAAACAACTGTTTGTTGTTCTTGTTTTAAATACAAAGCATCTACAACTTTATTCCCCATAAAGAGATTGAAAACAGTCATATTAACTTTTTTTTTCCTGCTGGGATAGCATCATCCAAAAGTGCTTTATTAGCAATTTCTTAGAAAACCCCAACAAATCGCACAAAAAAGGACTATAAAACACAACCCCAACACAATAAGATGTTATGTCTTCTGGCTTAAGGTCTTGAGGAACCGTGCCAGTAACTAAGTCCTTGTTTAACACTGGACCTGCTTTTCTCTTAAGCGAGGACAGAAATACTAGCTGTGATTAATAATCTGCTTCTCTGTTGAGAAAAGCAGTAGTGATCCATTGGTTAATTTCCAAATTTAGAAGGGCAAAGTGTCCAGAAACAGCCTATCGATGATAGAAGGGGGTGGAACCAGATCTTCCAGTTTCAGGTAAAAGATGCGTTGGAGTCCCAGTGTGCAGAGTGAACGTAAATCAGCAAGGGCACCCAGTACCTTAGGTTCTGCAGGCTCAAGAGGTTGTCCTTTAGTTTGGCAGCCAAAAGCCAAATGATCTTTCAAACTACTTGTAATCTTCTTGCATAGCTCTTCCACTTTCTTTGGTTCTTTTAACCCATGTCTTTCTGCAGAGACAATTAAGAGATGAGTTGATTTCAGTAAACATTTGATTATGCCATTCTTCTGCTAAAAGCCTTTTAATGCATCCCTATTACTTTACTAATTATTTAGGCTTACCCAGGCTCCCATAACTAGTAGGTAGCAGAACCAAGTCCTTGGCTCTTTCCACTATACTGTTATGCTCCACTAGAGTCCCAAAGCCAGATCCTAAGCCTCTCACTAGTCTTTTATCCTTAGCTGTTCAAACTTTGCTTTTCTGGAATCCAGCAGTTTAGAGCTGATAGCATCCATGTTCCCATTTCCAGGGCTATATATAGTAGGGAAAGATAAGCTCCTAGGGTCCTAAGTTGGAACTTTGGACACATTTTCCCAAAGTTCTATAATATTAAGAGTACTGTATAGGTATACCCTTCTTCTAAGAGTTTTTGATTTTTTAAAATAAGATGTTAGGTAAAACAATGTGATGGGGTGGGGGGGGGCAGTTAGTTCCACAGAAACAATGTTGAAAATGGCCAAATAACACTTTGGTGGAGGTTTTGTGACCTCACAGTGCAGTTTGTTATTGTAAAATGACATTGATATGAAGATTGTTACATGGTATATTGTCTATTCTACATTTTAGGTGCACCAGGGGTTAAATAGGCTTCTATGAACTCATCTGGAGGCCACTACTGATAACGCATTTATAGGCAGCTAGGAAGCGCAGTGGATAGAGCGCTGTGCCTAGACACAGGAAGATCTGAGCTCAAATCCAGTCTCAGCCACTTGTTGTGTGAGCTTTGGCAAATCACTTAACCTCTGTTTGCTTCATCTTCCACAACTGTAAAATGAGGATAATAATAGCACTTACCTTTTAGGGTGGTTGTAAGGATCAAGTAAGATATATATAGAGAGAGCACTTAGCACAGTACCTCGCACATAGTAGGTACTATATTACTGATAGCTATTAATATTGTCATCATCATTATTATGAATACTGTTCTATGGGCAAATATGTTCTTTGAAACCAACTTATGAATGAACTTTTAGAACACAGCCCAGTATCTCAGTTAGGAGCTGCCTATAATAATAAGTACAAAATAATGCCTGAATATTGTATTCAGACTATTAAGGGTAAAACCTTGGCACTATCTATATTTCTTATTACAGATTGTATTGTTCTGTAATTAATAGAGTTCAACTAACTTTATATCAGTTTCTTCATATACAGCTTTGAAAAACCTAAATGATGAGGAATACCCAAGGTCCTGTTTGCTTTACCTCAGCTTTGAAAGTTTAGCTTTCCATTTACTATCTAAAGCTCCCACCACCCTTATCTGTTGAAGAAAAGCATAGGAACTACAAGTTTTGTCTATTCAGTAAGATATGGTCCAGTGGTTTAGGTTAGGCTGAAAGTAGACCCTAGAAGTTTGATGTCATCCTCAGTTAGGTTAGAGAAGGGAGAATTTTCATTAGTTGCTGGGAAGAGAAAGGGGGGCACTACTAGAGGTGCCTGAGGTATCCTGAGGGGCTCTGGTATATTCCAGAGTAAATTTTCCTGATCTTTCGAATGGCTTAGGAAATACCTAAAAATTGCCCAGCCTCATAGGGATGCTGAAAACTGGAGGGCCAGAACACCTATGCTTGCCCAAACCTTTGAATAAAATCAGATATTTCTGAGATAGGCTAGGTTGGTAGGGTTAACCATTCTTCCAATCAATAAACATTTATTAAGCACCTACTATGTGCCTGATATTGTACTAAGAACACTCTCCCCCACAACCTGCCAATCTTCCATTGATAGTGATGGATAGAATCTACAGGGGCAACCTCTTTATGGCATGTGGAAAATACAGTACACAGTTTGGCATCCCCTGATAGACTGATTCACTTGATAACATTCACAGAATTAAAAAAAAATCCATTTTCTAGTACCCTGTCCTCCTCCCAAAAATTATCTTGTATTTAGCTTGTATATATGTTTATCTATTTACCTGTTGTCTCCCCAAGAGAATGCAAGTTCTTTGAGGGCAGGGGCAGTTTCATTCTGTCTTTGTATTCTCAACATTTAACATAGTATCTGGCACATAGTAAGCACTTAGTAAATGCTTATTGATTGGTTGGTTGAAATCTGGATATAATTTCTAATTGGTTTTTGCTCTAATTTTTTAAGTCAGAGTTTTCATATCTTTGATTCTACAACATCTGAAATAAAAATTCTTAGTGCACATTCTAAATGGTAAAAACTGTGAGTTCTATGTTTCATTCAAATGTCACTTTTATTTTTCTTTCTGGTTGCAAAAGTAATTTCTCCACAGCAAACATCAGCCAGAAAACTAAAGAAATTATCCAGACATTTTTCTCAAAATTTTCTAGTGGCTTTGACAATGTAGAAGGGATAAATTTGGTAAAATTAGGTATGTGTGGGAAATTGCAGTGAGATTAATTCAGGCAGAGATTGATTAAAATGAGGGTCCTTGGGACTAAATCTCCTAAAATGTTGGACTTGGTTAAATGATATGTCTGAATTCAAAGCACATTTTCCCTAAGAATTACTAGAGGAATTTTATTAGATTTTAACCTACAAAGCTTTCATCTCTGGGGTGGTCAGGCTCTCAATTTACAAACAACTCTGGGACAAATTTTTCTTTTCTCGACTTTAAAACTGACCCTACAAAACTAACAGGTAGCATGCCTTGACAACTGACGCAAGGGCATCCAGTCTATTTCATTTGGTTCTGGTTCTTTAGTAAATAGTCACTGTGTCTTTCATCCAGAAAAATCCAAAGAGTGTTCTTCATATACTTCAGGCTAAAAGGTGCTATGTCCTTTTAACATGATTATAGGATTAAGAGCTGGAAGAAATTTTAGAGGTAATTTCGTTGAGGCAGCCAGGTGGCCCAGTGAATAGAGTGCTAGCTTTGGAGTAAGACTGATATGTGTTTAAATTATTTATTATGTGATTCTGGGCAAGTTACTTAATCTTTCTCAACCTCAGTTTCCTCATCTGTAAAATGGGAATAATAATAGCACCTACCTTAAAGGGTTGTTATGAGGATGAGATAACAGAATATGAAATGCTTTGCAAACTTTAAGGCACTATATAAATGCTAGCTATTATTATTATTCAATCCTGTCATATGTTTTTGTTTTTAATATAAATAAGATCTGATAATGTAGGGACACTAAGGTTCAGAAAGGTTTAGAGATTTGCTTAATGTTATATTGCTAGTAAGTATGGAGGCTGGGATTTTGAACTTAGATTTCCTGAATTTAAGTCCAATGCTTTTCATGCTGAGCAAGGTAAACTGACATCTCATTAACATCAAATTAAAATTCCATAAATAAGAGGGTATGTAAAATTAGTCCAATAAGATTAACAGTAACCTAGGGATAATTCTTTTCACATAACCTACATTCAGTGACTATTTCCTTTTTACACAATGCTGCCTTTCTCTTGAATAGAATTCATGTTAATTATCAACATAAAGAAACTAAGCAATGTTTGAGGCCTAATTTAGGGTGCAAATTGATAATGAAATTCTGTAATTGAACCTTCTTATAGCCAAACTCACAGAAGGTGTTTGGGAGTTTTCCCTGCTTCCCTACCAGTTGTGAAAGCTCAATAACTATGGCAACCATTATTTATTCAGTGAATTCAAGTGGAGATCAATACTCACTGCCATCTCTATCAGTGCTAGGCCTGGAATTCCACAAGGAATTCACGAGACACTCTTATTAGAAACCAAAGACACCTCAACCATCCTTTGTTATTTTGATTATATGCTGGGTCTACTGCTTATCTTTTAAAAAGAGTTAAAATAAATCTAGAACTATTTCTAGCTTCCAGTAAGAAATATAAAATGCTGAAGATTTACTACGTTTTATATGTAGCCTTCTCAGAAGCTTCGTAAAACCTAAAGCACCGACATTTTAGCTAAAGGACCCTTTTCTTGATGCTCTGTTAAATGGCTTCAGATATATTACCTAGCACCAATAAGAGCTTGGGGAGAAAGATGCATGCTATTTATCCTGGGGTTTGGGAGAGTGAGAAGTAAAGGGGGAGGGGTGTAGGGCTGACTGTTATTTAGAAATCCTTTCATTCACCTCATTGACCCTCTTTTTCATTCTCTGCAAAGCTGTTCCAAACAAACCTTTTTCATTCTTCTCCAGTCTCTAATCCCACCCCTCACAGATATTCTCACCTGCTAGACTAAGAAGACAGAGGCCTTTTGATATGAGCTTGCTCAGTCTCTTTCCTACCCATTTTGAAATCTCTCCATAATATCATCTTCATTTTCCTTCCTTATAAATGCTATGTCCTTCCTTATAAATGCCTTTGTGTGCCCTCTATGTGCCTTTGATAACAATCCCACCTATCTCCTCTGGGACTTTACTCCATCAATCATTCCCTTTCTCTTGCATCTTCAATTTCTATCTCTATTTTCCTTCCTTTTTGATGCCTACATTATCAGATCTTATTTATATTAAAAACAAAAACAAAATTACCTTGTCTTTGACCTTATTCTCCTGTGTCTTATTCTTCACAGCCAAACTTGAAAGAGTACACTATGGTTGTTTCCTGCATTCTTCTCATGTACTCACTCCCCAATGCCTAGCAATCCAAATTCTTTTCCAATTATGTGACTAGTCTTCTCATCTCCAAATCTAAAGAGTTTTTCTCAGTCCTCATCATTCTTAATCTTTATGCAACGCTTACAAAGAAAAAACATTCTTTATACTCTCTCCTTTCTTGGTTTTTGTGACATTGCACTCTCATGGTTCTCCTCCTACTTCTCTGACTATTCCTTCCTAGTTTCTTTATTGCCTACTTTCTTCCTTCTATACCTAAACTCTCTCTGTCTCTGTCATCAGTTTCAACCACACTGGTTTTGAGATTCTTAAGAGTTGGTTGGGACCTCAGAGGCCATTTAGTTCAACTGTTTCTATTACAAAGAACAAAAATTTGAAAATAATCTTGAACTTCTATCATGAGTATATAAGCTAGTCTGAATTACTATTCTGTAATAAAACATGCTCCTAATGTTTTTTTGTATTTTACTCGCAAATTCTGCATTTTCAATTCAATTTAATTCATCACACAGTTATTAAATGTCTGCTAGGTGCAAGGAATTGTGCTAAATGTTGGCAGTACAAGAATGAAAATGGCACAATTTGGCTCTAATATATGTTTCCAGATTTAAATCACACCATCCCTTTATGAACTCTGATCTAAGGTGATTACTTCCACATGTAGCCACCTAGTTCTCTCTTTTACCCTATGCCTGAAACTTGCTTCTTTTTGCCTGATTGTTAAAATTTTTCTTTTCCTTTAAGGCTCCATATGCCACTTCCTCCATTAAGCTTTCCCTGATCCCTCTCAATGAGTGATCCTTCCCCACTAAAATTTTCCTAGAGTACTGTCTTGATCTTATGTTTGCTGTAACACAATTTTTGCTCTATCATACTTGTTGTGTATATTATATCCTTTTCTACCAGACTAAAAAAACCCTGACTTCAAAGAGCTTACAATCTAATTAGTCACTATTTTAGTACAGAACATTCTAGCCATTAAAAACTTACATATTTCATAAGAATGTTTAAATAATGAATTAAATTGAGTTAGAACCTTTTGATCATACGCCCTTAGCACTGGAAGGCAGTTTTGAGGTCGTATACTTCCCACCCAGTGCAGGACTCCCCTGGATATTCCTAATGGATGGTTGTATGATTCCTCTCTAGCACTTCCAGTGACAGGGGGCTCACTAACGCATAAGGTGTTCCATGCCAACGTGGGGTAACTAATCATTAAAAAGTACTTCCTTTATTTTGAGGCAAAATTTGCCTCCTCATCACTTGTAACTTATTAATTATATACGAGATAATGTGGGTCTTTAATTTACATGCATATATGTATACATTTAGAATCTTAATGTTTGGTTTTATTTCATGTATATGGTATTTTGATTTAACTAGGAGATATTGATTTTGCTTTGGACTATGGGTAAAGAGAATATATATGATGTGAATCTATAACCAAACTCAAATATTCATATACGTTTTATATAACTCTCCTATATACCAACTAAACAGGAAAGTTTGAAATGTAAATATTCTTCCCAAGTCCCACAAAGTTCCACTCCAACATATCACCCCCTCTATTATCAAATTCTCTTATATCCTTGAAAATTTTCTCCAAAATTTCTTCCACTTTTTTTCCTTAATTAAAGCCTGGCTTTCTTCCCATTAACGGCATCATGTCCCTTGTCATCCTCTCTTTTGGAAGCTCTTCTTTTCTCCTCTCCTCTTCTCTAATTTCTGGAACAGGAAAAGGGGCCAGTGTAGGACTGGATTACTCCTTCCTCTCCACTGCCATATCCAGAACAATCCTCTATCTTCCTTTGTCAATAATCTTTCCTCCTTTGGAAAACACGAGAACTAATCACTCTCTCCTTACAATGCTGTCATTATCTACTGACCTTCAGGTGACTTTTTTCATAATTTCCTTACTGACTTTAGTGCCTGGCTGGTATCATCTTCAGGGACTTTTATGTTCATATTGATGAACCTTCTAACAGTATGTTAACACATGATTTTTCAATTCCAACAACCTATTCTATTCCTCGTCAGCAACACATCACAAATATCTTGGGCTCCCCCAATCTCTAAGAATTGGCTTCATCTCTAAGATCCTTAATGTTGAAATTCCATACTATGACTTCCTATTCTGCATCCTATGGCCTCGTCTCCTCCCATCTCTCTCATTCCCTCACTTAACATTAAACCTGCTCTTTTCCCATAATAAGATATTTAGGCTTTTGGTCCGTCCCTTTCCCCCCAGTCCATATCCTCCACTCTTACTTCATTTGCTCTATTCCCAGACTTGATTTCATTGTTTTCCACTTGAATGAACCACCAGCCTTAAATTCCCTGTTTTCTCCTGTAGATTTTCTGCCATTCCAAACTTGCTAGTTCTTATTGCTGAGTAACCCCCACTGTTGAATCCTTCTGTTTCTGCTCCCATGTTGCTGAGTATTATTGGAAAAAGCCATGACATTGAACAAATTTCATCTATTCTACATTTATGGAGCATAACCTCAGCTAGTGCCTCACTTGTGCAACCTTCTATTACTCTCTATCTCAATATCCACAGAGACTATCAGAGTTAGAAGGAGCCTCTGAGGCCATATAGTTTAACCCACACCTGAACAGGAATCCATCTACAACATCCCTGACTAGATCTTATCTAACTTCTGCTTAAAGAGCTCACTATCTATTGAAGCAGCCTATAGAGGCATCTTTGGATAACCCTAATTGCTGAAGAATGTATCTACTTCATAAGGTTGTTGTGAAGGATCAAATGGGATATTTTATGCATAGCATAATCTAAATATAATGTATTATCATAATTAATTATCAAGCCAAAATATATAACTATGCAACTTCTACCAATTTTTCTTAACTATGCCCTTCTTGGCCAATCAAAATGAATCTAATCTACTTTATCCATCACAAATCTTCAAATTTTTGAATTCATCTATCATCTTCTAAGTATTTTTTTTGCTCCTCAAATCTCCAACTTCTTTCCATCCCTAACACTTATCTCAGTTTATCTTCCTACTTAAGTGAGAAAATCGTGGTTACCTAGCTGATCTCCTAACTTCTAAGAAACTTCTCATGATCATTACTCTTTTCCTTCCCTTCTGCCTACAGGAATAGGCATCCCAACTTTTTCCTAGGCAAATCCTTCTACTTGCATTCTTGATTCTATCCTATCCCACTTCCTCTGTTTGGTGTTTTCATAACCTAATCCCCTCCTACCATTCCACTCTTCTTGGACTTTATTCCCTACCATATGATCTAGTGACATTGGACTCTTTGCTGTTCCACAAATAAGACACTCCATCTCTTGGCTCCTGGCATTTTCTCTGGCTGTCTCTCATGCTTGGAATGGGCTCCCTGCTCATCACTACCTACTTCCTTCCCTGGCTTCCTTTAAGTCCCAACTAAAATTCCATTTACAAAAGGAAGACTTTTTCTGCCTCTTAATTCTGGTGCATTCCCTCTTTTAATTATTTCTTATTTATCTTGTACATAACTTGTTTGTACATATTTTTTTGCTTGTTGTCCTCCCCATTAGATTGTGAGTTCCTTGAAGGTAAGGACTGTCTTATCTTATCACAGTGCTCAGTACATACTAGGCACTTAAGAAATTTTTATTGACTATTGATTAACTGACTTGCTCCAACAATCATCTCCTCTTTCACACATATATCTTTAATCTCTCTAGATCTGTCAGCTCAGGTCTCCAAAATCCTTAAAAAATAAAAACCTTCTGTTGATTTTTCTATCCTTATTCAGCTACTATGCCTTCCTTTTTTTCCCTTTCACTTCCAAACTTCTTTAAAAAGTTGTCTACATTCCATTGCCTCTAATCCTTCTCATCTACTTCACTCTCCCCTTTAACCTTATGATATAGTTTCCATTCTCCTCATTCTATTGAAATGGATCTCTCAAATGCTACCAATGACTTTTATTCAGTCTTTATCCACCTTGACTTCTTTGTAGCATCTGATACTTCTGATTACACACATCCTTTGGATAGTTTCTCCTCCCCCTCTTGTTTTTGAGGCACCACACTCTTATGATCCTCTTACCACTCCTAACTAATTCTCTCTTCTGCTTTTTCTGATTGTTTAATGTATTTCTCAAAGGTTACTCTCAGCCCTCTTATCTTCTCTCTCTGTTATCTGCATTCTCTTCTTTTACTTCAACTATCATGTTAACATAAATGAAGTCTCCATCTACAGTTATAGCCCTTGAGTTCCAGACCAGCATTTGGAATTGCACATATGCTCCTGAATGTCCTACCAGCATTTCAATCTCAACATGTCCATTACTAAGTCCTATTATTTTGTATCATAGCTATTTGTGTATATTATATTTCTCTATTTGACTGTAACTTTTCATTAGTGCAGGGATCCCATCTTATCTAAACTTCTAATTTCCCCCAAGTACTAGTATAAGTGGTGTTTAATAAAGGTTTGCAGAATTGAAAGACATGAAGTATCTAAAAGAAATCATGTCCATTCAAACCTTCCCTCATCCTAAAGTGTGTGTTATGGGGAGGGAGGACAGGATACTAGAAAGTGAAGTTTGTGGACAGTAAAATTAAAAGGTAGAAGTGCTCTTTGTTCAAAAATCCAAAGGTTAACTCAATATTTAACAATCTAAATGTGAGTAATGAATAAATTCACATTTCTACCAGGTGAACTCTCTGTGACATGGAAAGCACTAGAAAAGCAGAATTGAAGAATTTGAACTTAATAAGAAAGTATGTACCTGTAATCATACTGAGAGCTGATAAGCATGCTAAGGCGGGGATGTCGAGGTTAAGGCTCTGTAAGTTTAAGGAAAAGTCTTTAATTGAGTCGAGCCATTCCCCAAATCCACGAAGGCACTGAAGTCTATGAAGCACAAGTCCATTGCAGAATACAAACTTATCTTCAGCTGTGTTAGATCTAAAATTAAAAGTAATTCAGGAGTATTTTACAAACATGCACATTATCATAAAATATATGCACTCAAATATCCATACAGTGTTGCTTAGAATCTAACATGTTGTCCAACACATGCAAGCACTCATGTTTAACAATATGCTTCTTACTAAGGCTTCAACATACTTGGTAGACATTTTAAGTTTCTAGTTAACCAGTATACTTGATCACATTTACAAAGTGCTTTTCCCACAACAGTCTTGTAGGGGTAGGTAGTTCAAATAGTATTGTCTCTTCCCCCACCCCTACACCTTTTGCTTTACAGAAGAGGAAGCTGAGGGGTCAGAGAAGCATTGTAAGCTTGTCCATAATTACACAGCTGGTATCAGTACTGTGATGCAAACCTATGTCTTCCAATGCCACATCCCAAGATTACCACAGTACACCACATTGCTTCTAATAATTGTTAATGTCTCACGTCCAAATGGTATTGGGATTGGCCAAGAGACATAAAGAAAAAATTTTACTCTACACTAAATATTTTGCAAGGTTTTAACTGAAATATTATCTGTGAGACCTTTGGGCAAGTTATTTAACCTTTCTAAGCCTCAGTTTCCTCATCTGTAAAATTAGGGGATTCAACTAGATAGATCACCTCTGAGGTCCCACTTATGACTTATTGAAAAATAGTGATGTGTACTGCCATGAAATTTATGAAAGATGATTCAAAAGCTGTAATTATAATAGCTTCTTCTTGCTTTTTAAAAAAACCAAAGAATAAAGACATCATATTACAGATACTAAAAAAACATGTATATAAATTGACTGTAAAAAAAAGTCAATGTAAGTGCCAGAATATAATCCCACTAAAAAATTGCTTATAAAATTATTTTTCTTTTCCTTCTATGCTCTTCAGAGTGGTGTGGTACTGCCTTGATCTGTTTTTGCTACTTTCTATTACTACTGGTATTTCTATTTTTGTCCAGTTTTCTTTTTTTCTGATTAAAAAAAGTCCTCATATTATAATCTCAGTTTTCTCTTATCCTTATATCTAATACTTTTCTTTTAGCCACATTTATATTATTCAGATTGTACTATTTTTTATAGTTCAGATCTGCAATTAAAAAAATATAATGAAGGTAAAGGGAATAAGTATATAACATTGACTGTGTCAGACCCTGTGCTAAGAGCTTTACAAATATTATCTCATTTGATATTATAGGAAGCTCTCAGTGTGGAAGTTGCCTCTAAAATGCAGACCAAGAATTCTTCTGTAAATTATGGTGTTTGAGAGTGACTTGGACCACTAAGTCAAGTGCACTATCTATGGTCACAAAGAAATATGTGTCAGGGACAAGGCTTAAGCACTGTTTCCCTGATTCCGTTTCCTAAGAATGCCTTTCACTTCTGTTATTGGTGGCCTCAGTTTAATTTTTGTGTGCCTGCTTCCCCCCCCCCCTTCATTTCTTAACATATCTTCCTGGTTTACTCTATTGCCTTTCTGTCATTGGGTATCTATTATAGTGAAAAAGCAGTAAAAAATTAGGAAATATGGATTCAGATACATACTGTTTCTATAAACATTGGCAAATCATTTCCCTCTAGTTCTTTTGTTTGTAAAATGGGCATAGGATCATAGATTGAAAGTTGGGAAGGATGTTAGAGGTAATTTAATCCAATCCTCTTTTACAGAGGAGGAAAGTGAGACCCAGAGAGGAAGTGACTTGCCCAAGTTAATACATAAAATTATATATAGTAATGATAGGATTTGAACTCTGTTACTCTGACTCCAGATCCAGCATTATTTCCAAATCAGAGCAGTGACAGTGATAGCTATACTATCTACCTCCCAAGACTGTTATGTGAAAATAACTTTATAAACCACAACATGGTATGTAAATGACAATGGCTGTTGTATGTTGTTTTACTTAATGCTTATTTAACCTAATCCAATTCCCATGTAAAATTTTTTTTAAAGAGTAGACAAGAAACCTCTCAGATTGTATAAAATAACATTTTTTAAACCTCTCTAAGGTATAAAATGCATGGGAAGCAAGATCAGCTACTTTCTCTAAAATTTGTGGCAAAATAGTGGTGAACAACCATCTCCTGAAAACACTTTCAAGACAATGCATGAAAGACAAAAGGAAGAAATGTTAAAAGATGTATTACATTTAGAATTGCACTAGAAGAACTGTTTAAGGCCCTGAACGATCGAGAAATGCTTCCTTTTCTTCATTAGTATCTGTAGTTTAATTTTATTGGGCATGATACATTAGTATCTATAGCTTAATTTTATTGAATATAAATACTGAGTCAGAATCTTCAAATATTCTCTAGGAATAAAAGGCCTCCTGCATGGTAATTACTTAATAAAGGCTTGTTGACTTGGCTTTACATAATTGTATTAACCCTGTCAGGCCACTAAGTAGCATGTGTACTATGAGGTATACTGAAAACTGTAAATTGTTACATGGTACCCTAGAGTCTCTTGAAAGAATTATATAGTTTCTTAATGCAATAGATTTGCTTAGGAAATAGGTGAAAAACTTTTCTTTTATGTCTCAGTTTAATTCATTCAGTTACTTGAGAAAATAATTTTGTGTCAGTTGCTAAATTACCAACAGAGCCAGCTTTAAATCTTTCTAAAAATGTGAAAGCTTTCAGGACATTCAAGTATGTGAATTTATGGTAAAAGGATGATAAATAATAGAAGTCATTACCTGATGGAAAGTCTGAGTACAAATAGCTCCAAAAAGGCAGATTCTATTAGTAAAGTCTGATCTTCTTTAGGGAGATCCGTAAATCCTGGAATTTTTTCAGCCCAGCTTCTAGATACATCTATGGAGGCTGTCAGGAGGTTATAGAATTGTTGTACATGTTCTGCATCAGTGCCCGCTGCAGCCTGATCGCTGGAACAGTACTGGAATGAAAACCACAGATAGGAATGAAAATATCTCATGATTCATCATGAAAAAAGACTCTTCCTATAAAACCCAACTGACATCTGTTGAATGTGATGAGTGTAAAAACCTTCATCAGTTTTCCCTCCCTCTCTTTAGTGGCTCTGTTTGTAATCTCAAGCTTCCTGCTCCCCTCTGGAGGTGCAAGTCATCAGAATAAGAGTCCTGGTAAGTTAGGGGTGAACCCAATGGCAGGCAGAGTGTTCCTGCCACATGAAAAGACAATAAACTTAACAAAACAACATATGATGGGTCAACCAACAGCTAGGACTTAACTGTATTTACAGACAAACATACACCATATTTATTTAAATATTCTCATGGGGTGACTGGGTGGCACAGTAGATACAGTCCTGGGCCCGGAGTCAGGAAGATCTGAGTTCAAACCAATATATATTAGCCTCAGACACATATTAGCAGTGTGACCTGGGCAGACCACTTGATTTCAGTTTGCCTCAGTTTCCTCATCTGTAAATGAGAATAATAACAGCACTCATCTCTCAGGGTTCTTGTGAGGATCAAATGAGAACATATGTAAATTGCTTTGTGGACCTTAAAGTGTTATACAGATATTATAAACTACAAGGATGATAATGGTGGTGGTAGTAGTGGTAGTGATTGGATTTTCCTGTCTTGCCCAGACTGAAAGTGTAGGGCCTGCTCCCAGGCTTGGTCCCACTCTGACTAGCATAGAAACTATGACCTGCTCTGTTTTTCCAGCATAGGTCAGTTCACCCCTTCTTAGTTTAGGGTTTATCATATTAATGCTGAACTGAGTGCAGGCACCCAATCAGCTTAGCCTACTGCAGTTCAGAAGTACTCAGGTTCAAGAGATCTGCCAGCCTCAACCTCCCTGGAGGCAGGGATTACATGCATGTGTCCTATACCTGACAACTACATTTATTATTACAATTATTATATGTGATGTTATAGCTAAAGAATATTTACATTTACATTTGTTGAACTCTTAAAAATACGTAGTTTTATCAATACCTTTATTTTCAGGGTTAGTAGTAAGAATATCATAATTAAGTGGTCTTCATTTTAAATGAAGAGTTAAATTTACTCTTTGACCCATATGTTCCCTTTCACAACCACATAGGAGAAGGTCACCTTACATTTCCTACTACCCAGGGTTTTAGAATATGGTTCTACTCATCCATTCAACTCTTCATTGATTCAGGTCTGTTGTCTGGAGGATGAAATTGTTATTATTCATATATTTGCTTTGGGAGAGGGAAAATGAGGTGCCCATCTCAATCATAAGATTGTGTCTTTTCCTTTTTCCAGGGAAGAACAAATTAACAGTGAAGAACTGGGACTGATGTCATTGCTCCTTAGAGTCCACTAGTCCTACTAAATTGGGGCAGTAAAACTTCCTTGTATATAGGGCTATTTAATTTACAAATTGCAGTAGCCAAAGGCCTAGAAAATTTTCCCACAGCTGAGAATTAGAAGCTGATGGAAATGTAATAATTAAGATTACACTCAAGCTTTTATCATCTCCTCTGAGAAGCCCCTAAATCCTGTTGTTACTGCTGTCTTCCTACTCATATTACTTTGTATCTATCTGTGAAAATATTTTATTTCCTCAGTAGGATTAGAACCCAGGTCTTTGGAATCCAAGTCCAGCATTATGTTCAACATATACATATATACATATATATGTACTTGTATTACATATATAATATTCATATGCATACATACATACATGTGTATTATATATCTATATACCTATATACATACACACATACATTTATCAATCTCAATGTAGTTTTCTTTTGTGAGATTTGCAATTATTCATGGCAGGTCAGTTCATTTAAAGTTGTGACAATTACAGGTAAACTCATGCTAAATGTTCAATACTTTAAGATACTGCTGGTAATATAAAAATTGATATGTTTAAAAATTATAACATTTTAAAAGGCTAGGGGAGAATAAAAATTATTCAAACTTGTTCCTTGGAACGAAATTTGTTTTCAAATTCATATCCATTAAAATAAGGTACTCATTCTTCACTTATCTTTCCTCCAATAGCCATGGTGCTCATCTGATAATCTTTAAATAGTTTTCTGCCTCTATGATTCTTCCTGAAATATTTTAAGAGATCTTGATTTTTTTCCCCCTTCCTAAGGCCCTCTCTTGGGCTCTGGCTCCTACTGAATTCAGATTCCATATACTATGCACATAGGAAACATGATGCCCACATAGAATTTGAATTTGCCATTAGTGAAGACTAGAAAAGGTCAGAGAACATCGGAGGTTCAAATATGAGGACAGACTCTCAAAATATTGTAATGAGTTTATATACATTCTGAAATCCTGGACCAAGTCTGACTGACCCAAAAATAACATCATCAATATTTAGAGAAAAGGAAAAATAAGCTTATTTTAGCTTAAGAATTTTTTTTTAAATTAAAAATCTTGGCTCTTTTTGGATTACATTAACAGTTTGTAAAGACTTTAATTCAGGAAGAAGCATAGTGCTGGACTCTTCTTAGGAACTATTTTTTTTCCTTACTCTTTGTTGTTCTGATCTAAACTCATGTCAATCTGTCAATCTCTTAACAACTTTAGTTAACAATATAGTATTAATAATAATTACTAGTAAGCAATGCTTAATGGATATAGCTCTCAAGTTTTCTAGAATGAGAATAAGAATCTAACCTAACAATAACAAATAACAGTATAAAACTACTTTACATTTTTATACCATATTGCTATGGTCATGAAAGTTAGAAGAAGTAGGAGCCTGAGTATAAAAGAAATAATTTAGATGTAGGAAAAGGAAGAATTTTTGGAAAAACTGAAGCTATTATCCATTATTAATATTAATATTGCTTCATTCAAAAAAGCAACCCTACAATACTTTATTTAGTAGCAGATTTAAGGCAAGAAAATCAAGTCTCTTGTCTCTCAACCTTGACTAGATCTGTGAAAGCAATAACAACTCTAAATATAACAAAATTTTTTTAGCAAATTAAGTTAGATGTATATTTTGCTTTCCTTATCTAACGTAGTGTATTTAAATCCATAAAGGGTTCTAAAGTAATTAATGCATATGTTTCAAAACATCCCACAATTTTCACTTTTACTTCCAAAAAAGTTTGTTTTTTCTGTCATGGTTTCCAAAATTTTAATTATATTTCTTTAGTTGAGGTTCCTTCTCCAGAGAGAAAATTATTGTTGAGTTCACATTATTATGTGAACTCTAAGAAGAAACAGATTCTTCTGAGTAGTTACTATACACACACACACACACACACACACACTCCTTAGAGTGTTTATTTAGCAGGCAAAGCATATGTTAAATGTTTTGTTGATTTAATTTTAATATATTTTTTAACACATAATGGTAATTTTTGTTTGTGGCTGCCTCATTCTGTATGTTTATTACATGTGGGATCAGTTACTACTAATCTACCCTGATTGCCAGAAATCATTATAGTCGGATGAAGAATACATGAAATGGCCAACAAATGGGTACATAAAACACATTTTAAAAAATTAGTAATTATGTGCTTTCTGAACCCTAGAATGAACATGTATTACTAAATTAAAAGTAATAGTGAAACAGAAAACAAATGAAAAAGTTGTAAAGAGAAACAAATCTAACATGACATGTTTTGATTAAATAAATACAAAATAGCCTGAGTGTACTTTTCAAACAAAGGGGTTTAGTCCAATGGTCAGAGTACCATGGAACCAAGAGCTCTTGAATTCCTATGTTGGTTTTTAAAGCCTATCTCTTTTCTGTTTGTAACTTTAAGTAAAACTTCCTTGGCTCAGCTTCCTACAGGCTTTGAAGAACATGTTCACTTACCAATCTGAAAGGTTTACGATTTTGATATACGAAGATTAAAACTTTAAAATGTTTTAACCAACATATTTTCTCTTTCTCTTTTTAACTTATTCAATGGCAGAAATTATAGGCCTTAAGGTACAGAACAATTCAGCTACTTATTCATCTTTCTCTATATCTCTAGTACTTAGTACAGCACCTGGCACATAGCAGGCACTTAAAAAATGCTTGTTGACTTGACTTATCATGATTCAAACAAGACAAGAAAAATCACCTAAGATATAACTTGCTATTACTATAACATTTTAATGGAATCCAATAAAATTGAATTATGATTGACATTCTAAAAATCATTAAAAGACAGAAAAGTCATAATATGAATGGGAGTCATATATCATATTATATGATGCATAGAAAATGACCAATAAAGTGAATTTTAGATTTTAACATAGAAAGGTTAAGTAAAGCTTCATAGATGTATCACTTAGACTTGGTGGGATGCAACTTATAGTTGGTGTATGGCAATGGAGCCGTATTCAGAAGAAATAGATTAGTTGTGAAGGGTACAACACAAGTGATATTATGGTGTGTGTGAACCACAGACTGCTTAACCAGGTGGAAGAACTGTATGATGACTTTCTGTGATAGATCATGAAACTTGTTTGGAGGCAAAATATACCTGTATTCATGGGGTTTGACAATATGGACATCTGCTTGGGGTCCTGTCCTGCTAAAAGCGAAGTAACTGATAAATTCCTGAGGCCTTGATGATAATTTTCTTTTAAGAACCTAGAGTGAATTTTGGAGAACTGCTATTGTGGACATGATTTGTAGATTCCAACTGGTAAAATAGAAATGACAGGGAACCTTAAAAATGACCATTTCTAATCTGAGCATTTCTAATAGATACTAGCCATAGTATGACTTGTACCTTGGACTTTATAGGAGAATATATGTCAAGAATTAAGAGAGGAGATAGGCAGGATTCCATAGACTGAGCCTTTAAAAGGGAAGTTGGCTCAAGAGATATGAAGAGACTCTCAAGAAGGAAACTCTGATGTTGCAATTGTAAATGATCCTGATGAGAAAGAAAAAGGGGAGATCTTTATGAGATGGCTACACAGAATCTCATTATTGAGCTCAGATTTTAAAGATACAAAATATGGAACTTAATTGAGGATAAATAAAGACCTATAAAAATACTGCTAGGAAGGTTACTGGAAGCTCAGAATGACCTGAGACTGATGAAATATGCTAAGAAAAAAAAAGAACTTTTAGTTTAGCTGTATTGGTGGTCAGAAGAGTAAGAAATAAATAACCCTACTGTTTGGGAGTAGATAAGATGAAGATAACAGAAGACAGAGAGAAAGCACAATTAGTAGAATTATATTGCTCCTGTTTTCTCTATTTAGGGCATCATCCTAGAGATATCTGAAAAGAAAAGGAGGTGGGTTGATCATGTAGCAAGAGTAAAGGATAGAGAACAAATAGTCCGAGGTCTTCACTGGTACCCATAGACTGTTAAGATCTCTAGAGGAAGCCATTTTGTACATTGAGTAGATCTCTTATAGATCAGATTTATGGGAAAACATGGAACAAAGTCACATAAGATAAGAATATGTTGTCATCTTGCATCATTAAAAGGACTACCCCCATTGATAAGAACATGTATTTGTTGCGATAGTTTCTTACCTAGGAGAATGTTCTTAGAACCAGAAAGACTCAAACAAAAAATAGCTAAAGGGAGACTGAAAACTAAGGTGAGTGAGGAGATGACAAGAAAGAACTTAAATGTCTTCAAGTTACCTCACCTGGGTGAATTACACCCCAGGGTACTGAGAGAAGTTATGAATATGATTGCAGAACTGTGAGTGGTCTTTGAGAAATCCTAGAGAAAGGAAAAGGTGCTGCAGGTCTGTGATTTGCACAGAGGGGAAGAAAATGGATTCTGTAATCTATGGCCAGTAAACTTGATGTTGGTTCTTGGAAAAGTTCTAGAGTGGATTGTTAAATGTATGTTTGGTGAACACTGAGAAAAGAAGTATTGATCACTATTGGTCAGTATAGGTTCATTTAAGAATAAGTCAAGTTGGACTGATATGGTTTCCTTTTTTTAGATAAGACATTTGATCAATGAAATGCTGTAGACACAATGTGCTAGAATGTCACCAAAGCACTGTCATGATATCCTTGCAGATAAGGCTAGACAGATGAATCTGGAACTGGTTTGAGAGACTAAACCCAAAGAGTATAAGTTAATGATCTGATGTTCAAACTACAAAGAGATCTCTAGTGATATGTTGCAGGATTTAGTACTTAGCCTTCTTTTAGTCTGTGTTGTTTCAATGACTTGGATAAAGACATAAATATTATGCTAATCAAATTTGTCAAGAGCACAAAACTGGATGAGACAGCTTATAAGTTGGATGATAGAATCAGTTTCTAAAAAGATTTTTGATAGATTGGAAAATAGGCCAAATTTAATAAGATGAAATTTAATAGGGATAAATAGGAAGAGCTGAACAGGTGCAAAAAATCAATCATGCATGTACAGGATAGGGGTGATGTGATTAGATAGTATTTCATGTAAAAAAAAAGATTTAAGGCCTTTAGTTTATTCGGAGTTCAATATGAATGAATAGTGTGATATGACAACCAACAAAGATAATGAGATTGTTGCCTGAATTATTAGAATTATAGTGTGTGAAACAAGGGACATGATCATTCCATTTTGTTTTGTCTCGTTCTGGTCAACCCATATCTAGAGCACTTTGTTTCTGGTCACCAAATTTTAGGAAGTACTTTTACAGGCAAGAGCATATCTGGAAAAAGATGATCAAACTAGTAAGAGATTTTAAATAATACCATAAAAGGATTAGTTAAAGAAACTGGGTGTATTTAGCCTGGAGTAGAGATCTTCTTAAGCTAGAGAGTCATAATTGCTGTCTTCGAGTATTTGAAAGATTGGGATGTAGAAGACAGATTAGACTTGTACTGTGTGATTTCAGAAGACAGAATGATGAACAGTTGGTGGATGTTAAAAGGGAGGAAGATTAGTTTACTCTAAAGAAAAATTCCTAACAATTTGTATATGCAAAAATAGAATAGGCTTACCCTGGTTGGTTGTGAGTTTTCCATCACTGAGATCTTTAAGTAGAGTCTGGCAATATGACAGAAGGCATTTAGAGTTTGTGAGGGTGGGGGATCCCTAATCATACAGGGGCTGGGCTGGATGACCTCTAAAGTCATTTTCAACTCTCTGATTCTGTGAAATCTCCCATTTAAAAATTAATCTGTGTAGACTTCCATTGGCATAACAATCAGTAATCATCTAGCAATATATGACTGTACATTTTTGGTGCTGAAAGACTTACTTATAATGATACATATTGCATAGGTAAATTACAAATTGAATGTGTGGAATTATTGAAATAGAGAGATAGCCTGTTCCTTTACTTGAGGTCAAAGTTTTATAAAAACTTACTCTGGAATAATCCAGGTCTCTGGGAGTTGAATCCGTTAATGCTCGCACAAGGGCATTCATCACACTGATTGGAGGAGGAGGTGGAGAGGGCTGGGAAGGTTCCTGCTGTAACGGGCTCTTTGGTTTGGAAGGCAGCCGACCTCTCCTTCCTTTCAGACTATCAGTACGGACAACTGATTTCAAAAGAATAAAAAATTTTGACCTTCAAAGACATTCATAAATTGTGAGAATCAAGACATATTTTAAATTATTTTAAAAATCATTCATGTGATCTATCTTCTAGAAGCAACAATGAATTCTAAATAACGTTCACTCCACAGCTGAGAGCTAGCTAAAACAAGCATTATAAAAGGCATCTTCTGTCTATAGTTGATAAAGAAATATTGATAAAAATCACCTTTATAAAGATTACCACATTTATTTATATACATTAACCGATTTTAGAAAATTAGAATGATAAAACATTTAAAAATATAAATAAATATATGTCAGTAACAAAACATTTGGGAGCACAAATGAATCCAGAAACTTCACTACTACATTAAAACAGAATTATTTTATACTTCTAGAGTGACTGTTATTAATAAAAATATCATAACTTTCTTACCTTCTTTAACCATGCCAACATTGAGACACTTCTGAAATCTACAGTACTGACATCGGTTTCGACGTCTTTTGTCTACTGGACAATTTTTATTTGCCAGGCAAACGTATTTTGCATTTTTCTGTACTGTTCTCTGACAAAATACAATATAGAGATAGTTAGCTAATAGTTTCTTGAAAGAGCTAGGAACCAACAAGATGTATTTTAATTACAATATGAAAAGTGACAGTGCAATTCGTATAATTAGATAAATTTAATTTCCTAACATGCTAGCCTGCAGGAAAAACAATTTTATTAGTGTTAGCTGCTGACAAGGAAAATCATCTGGAATTGTTGTGAAGCAAGTCTCAGGAGACAGTCAACTTTGAATGATAAAATAATATCTGAAATTACCAGGTCAATGCATCATACCTTTATGGATTAGATTATCTCCACTTGTAAAATCCCCTTAGGAACAATTTTCTTCTTGCTTTACTCTCCCTGATTATTGTTGACCTTATTAGAATTCCATATTAAAATTCTTTGGAATGCACTTGATTTGCTATGCTTATTGTGAGTACATCATAGTAACCGGTATGTTAGCCATTGGAGGTAGAGTGATAGAAAGGAGGCCAAATTAATTTAAAATATATAGAAAATTTAAACATGTTACCATAAAAATTTTATTCAGCTTACATTACCCTCATTGATGTTGGGAAACAATAAAATTTCAGATTTTAAGATACAAATACATGTTAGTTAAAAATCCTTCACTAAAGTCCTTGTTTAAATGTTTCTTCTTGGAATGGAGGTGATGGCTATGCCATTCATTGCATTACTATCCCTGGTAGGTCTTACCAGGTAGAAAGTCTTCAAATATTGCCTACAAGTGGATTATATGTCTGTTATCTTCATACTAGTTTAGCTAAGTTTGGAAAGGCTGGCCATAGCAAACTCAGAAACATTGTTTGCTAAGGAAGGGATGGGTTTGTGATGAATTTCATTGGTGTTAATACCCACAACAATGACATGAAGGACTTTTTAAAGTATTTGAAGAAAAAACATTAATGGAGATTAAGTGATTTGGTGACAAATAAGTTTAACTACTATTTAAAAAAATACCTCATATACTTAGAGCAGGAAGGGAATATTATAATTCAAATATTTTTGTCCATTGATACTTGAAACAAAAACTTTTCTTACAATCAAGCATTTATAGAAAAATTCCATCACTGCCATCTCAAATAACCAATTTGTTGGTTATGTCACATTTAGCAGGCTTAGACAAAGAACTCTGTTATTTTCATCCAGAATCATAGGGTTTTTTTTGTTTGTTCTGGATCTGTGATTTCATCAGTGTGAAGAATTTCCTGGTGTGCAAATTCCCTCAACTGAGGCAATTCCACCATTCATCTTAGAGAGTTGCCTAGGGGCACTGAGGTACTGTGACTTGTCCAGGTTACACACCTATTATGTGTCAAAGCGATGACTTGAACCCAGGTCTTCCTGAGTTCAAGACCCTGCCCTTTGTCTCTCTATACTTCTTTCTGAATATTTTAGCAAAGGTAACTTTAAAAATGAAATCCTCTCATACTCCACCATTAAAAGTAATATTGGCCTTACAAGAAAGTTGTGTAAACTAATTATTTATTATGTGAGCACTCTCTCTAAAGTTGTTCCACCCACCATCACATCACAACAATATCCTTAATACATGATAATCAAGCTACTACAATACTCATAGATGTGCCATTGCTCAGCTAATGACTTATTGCTAATATTTATTACAACACTATTTTTATGGAACCAACTGCTTCCTGTAATATTGTTTTATCTCTAATGTCCTTCTCCCACAACCAACTAAGGAGCTAGACAGAATATGCCTATATTTAGAATAAAAATTTATAAATAACTACAAACCTAGGATTACCCAGCACAAAACAAAGGGAAGAATGAAAACTGATTTGATACAGAGCAGTATAGAGAACAAATCCAGATAATCAGGGATAAATAGCCCTCTTGTTGCCCAAGATTCTTTGTATGCTTTTTGATGACGTTCTACCAGGGTCTTTAAAATGAGTATCAGTTTTTACCATGAAACCTGTTTTTTTTTGTTTCTGAGACTTCAAACTTCACTTAATAAGACTACTCAAATAAAACTAAGTTCTAACAAGGCAAATGTTAAGCATACACATCAAATATAATGTAAATTTCACCTACATAAGTGAATATTCTCAAAAGTTTGTAATTCAATATTAACAACTCTGACACACACATATATACACACATATATATGTAAATCTATTCAAAGCTAACAGAATCTAACTACTAAATGGTGTTTCTTACAATGAAAATGTAGCCCTTCCTAAAACTATACTTGCTCCAATGACATGTCAATTGAATTCAAGTAGCATTTTGTTTCAAGTACCTTACACATTTTTTCCAATAAACTAAAACACTTCCTGCATTTGTGTGTGGCTGAAAGAGTTTGAGAAACAGGAGAGATCGTTATGGTTCAATAATAGAATTCCCATCATTAACTGCACTTCATGTCACATTTTAAAAGAATTCAATTTAATAGTGGAAGACCACTGGGTAAAATATGCTTCCATTTCTTTAATTAACAGATTATTTTTGGTTGGCTTGCTTATTGTTTCTCCTTTTATGTATAGATTTTCCCCCCAAAGTAAAATAGATGGAACAAAAGGAGGGCCATTGGTAGGATACAATGTAGATTTCCACCTTGGAATGTATTGCCATTTAGGTTTCTCAGTCAACTTTCAATTATTCAGGTTGACTTTATCGGTGGACATTCCATGCCCTTCTTAATTTTCATTATTTTTCTCCTGCTGCTCATCATCTGGCCTTTTATTTGTTCTTTAGCAGGAAAAGGCATAAGATGGGAAAATCCAAGTCAAAGGCATACAATAGCTTGAAAAGTAGCTCTCACAAATCCTTGATAATAAAAGGGTTTTAAAGCAAATAGTTCAAATGAAATGTCCATATTAATATTCATTTATCTGTGTAATCTCTGTCATCTGCTGACAACAATAAGTCATGTTTAGTTGTACACCCTACTTACTTAGATCACTTTCTGTCCTCCACTCTAAAACCCTAGTTTTCATTCACCTAACCTAATCTCTTGGCTCTCCTCATTCCTCCCCCACCTTCCAGAAACAACAATCAGCAAAACATCAAGTAAATGTGCAGATTAGAACTCTTGTGAGGATGTAAAGGAGGACATACAGAATCAGGTATGCATGGGGGTGTCTGTGTGTTTTGTTCCAGAGGAGGCTGAATAATTAAGTGTTCTACAAAGTCTATGAATGAATAGCTGAGTGCAAGACTGAGAGGTTAAATGAGTCAGTTTCTCCTAAAGTCTAAACTAACTCTGAGATTGTAAGGTAGGCATCTTTACAAATGCATTCTGGCAGCTGCCCCTTGCCACTCTTAATTTACACGTGGGGAGTTACCTTAAGTACAAGGACGATAAAAGTCATGAATAACAGAGGCTTGGATGCCAGTGGCTAAATTTCTGGACTATAGAATGGAAGGAGCCTAACCATAGGGAGACTGGGGGAGAGAAGAAGAAAAGGGAAGAAAGATGCTCACCTTGAAGAAACCCTTGCAGCCCTCGCAGGTGCGCACACCATAGTGTTGGCACGCTGCGTTGTCCCCACACACAGCACAAGTGCCCTCACCGGAGGAGGAGCTCCTACTGGGAGGTGATGGGAGGCTGGTACTCTCTCCTAGCAAGCTGGACCCGGCTGAGGCGGCGGCAGCAGTAGGTGGCAGACTCAGCTGGGGAAAAGTCAAGGGGGCAGCCCTCTTGACTATTGACAGCCCAAAAGGGTGGCCCTCCATGGGGGCTGGCTGGCCACTTGCAGCAACCCGGTCTGTGGCTCCTAGCTGGAGGGGATCATAGCAGAGGTGATGGCCTCCCACTGGAATGGGGGTAGGAGGGTGAGGTGGCGAGTGCTTGAAGTGAATCTGAGGGAAGCGGGTGGTAGCTGGTACGGTTTTCATTGAGGCATCCATCAAGTGACTTGTTGGGAGGCAAGTCTGGGTGGCCTGCAGCTGGTGTGTCTCGTCCCATATGGACGTCTGCTGCGTGGGGAAGTTGGGCGTGGTTGGGGTGGAAGGGGGAGACTGCTTGAAGTACATAGAGGTACTGGGCATCACTTCCTCTTCTGAGGAGGAGGAAGGCGGCGGAATGGACGAATGGTGGTGATAACTGTGCCCCCGGGAATCTTCCATCTTGACCGGGGTCCGGGGACCAGACGGCTGCATTTGGTACAGGCAAGAGGGCTTGCATTCGTAACTCCCGGGATAACCCTCCATGAAGGTGCTGAAGCTGGGCAGGGAGGTGGTAGCTGTGGCTGTGATTTCAGTACTGCTTAAGTCCATGTTCAGTTTGGTGTAGTCGGGGTTCATGATCTCCGAGGTGTACTCTGAGCCATAAGCATACGTCTGCGCAGCATAACTAGAACCAGGAGGCGAAGGACTATATTGAGCTTGCACGCAGGGCATATCTGCAAAGAAGAAACAAAAAGCCCTCAGAAACAGATATAAATTCTCCCTAAACTAATTAATTAGCAAGGTCGATTGTTGCCCTTCCCCCTTCAATTTGTGAAGACGTCTCCTTCCCTAATCCTCTGTTTCAAAAGCGGTCAAAGCCAAAGCTTGTCGTTTTTCGCAGACACCAAAACCCAACGTTTCTCACTCCCCAGAAATTCCTGACTGGCTGTGCTGTGTCAAAGAGCATATTAGGCAGGCGGTGTCCTCTGAAGCCAAGCCCCAGGCTTGAGCACAGTTAATGCCTGAGCCTTCCACCAGACCCAGGGAGCCTGGTGTCACTAGTTAAAACCCAGAAGCGTTTGCTAGAAAACTCTACTGAGAATTAACTGCAATGGCCTCTTTGACAACCAAGACCTTGAATGGGCAACTAACAGACTAATAAATTAGTACCTTGTTTGTTTATTTTGGGAAAGGAGAGACCACTTCATTCACCCAGCCACAGACCATTTGCCCATAACAAACTGAGTTCATAAAGAAGCAGCCCGACATGAGACTTAGTCCTCGTGGGGAACAGTGACATATTTATGAGTTAGGATAGAGGAGGTCAATCCGCTTTAGAATCACTTTTCTGCCTAATACTCCCCTTTCCAATAGCTCTACAGAATTCGAAGCAGCTCTCCTCTGCACCCCGCCACCCTCCCCCTTACCCTCCCCCCATCAACCACCAACAACTTCAGTTCTCTAGGCAAGGAGATGGAACGTAGGCCCAGAAAATGGACTCTGGGGACTTTGCTGCATCTGCAAAGAAAAAAAAAATCCGCAACTGCAACAAAATACCCATCCCAAGGATATTATGTGCCTTAGTTCGTACGTACACATATACGTACATATTTGTGACTAAAACAATCAGCATTTATCAAACTCCCACCCTTCACCCATTTAAATTAAGTATTATGGGGGGGGAGCGGGTGGGGGAGGAGGGAAGAGAAGCTGAGCAGTCACAGAAGTAGGATCTGTTGCCCTATCAGTTTTCAACCAAGACTGCTGAAGCAGTTATTGGCACAAAGTGTTCTTAGTGTACTTAACCTCTAGATAGATAGCAATTTGAGACATCCCTTAGATGTAACTTTGAGTCACAATATTTTATAGGCTTAGTTAACTAAAAGTCTAAATAGCCCATCTCTTTGCTTTATGGTTATATGAATGCAGCAGCTTGTAGTAACTTGTTTTCCTTGAAAAAGGAAGGGCAGGTGATATGGTCAGATCTACATAAAAAGAATGAAGGATTTAAGAAAAAGTCATTTTATTTTCCTTTGACAACCTTATCTTACCCATATTTCCAAATCTCACTGATTTATTATCCTAAGAGAAGACATCTGCACTTCCAAAATGTAGAGAAGAGAAGATTGCTTGGCATCAATTGGGATTAAAACACTGTTTTCTTTGCTGCTAGGATTGTTAAAATGAGATGAAAGACTAATAATCACTGTTTAATTGTTTTAAAGGAAAGAAAATAATAATAATACAAGGGAGGAATAGAGTCCTCTTTATTTAAAAAAATCCCCAAACTACCCCATCTTCTGTAAAACTCTACTGTCCTCTACTTTAATAATAACAAAGTGGCTTTCAGTAGAGATAAATGGGAATCCTAAGGTTTACAGAAATAAATTTTTATTATGTTAAATGATGATGCCATGCCCCTTAAATGCAAAAAAAAAAAGATGTCCCCCAATTCTATGGTTAAAACGAATATATTGAAACCTAAGAAGGATAATAATTTGTAGGTTTGTCTGTGATTTTCTTGGAAACAATAATTCAGAGAAATGCATAGCTTAGCCCTAAGCACAAGTCCCATTCCTAGGACATTCAAAGCTTCACTATGAAAAAGGAAGTTTATGTGTCAACGGCCAGTGACAAGATCAGGCCATGAAATCCTGGTCAAGGTAAGCCTTCTCATAGATATAGGGCCTGGAAAAACCAAGGAAGAGTGACTTAACTATCCCATTCTGCAGTATCTCCCTTCCCCATCCACCAGGGGAGGAAGAGCTTAGGGCCTCAGGCGGCGGGGTTACCTGGAGGGAATCTTGTGCGCTGAATGATGGGGCTGGTGGTCTCTCCAGAGGAGGCTACAGACAGAGGCTGAGGAGGGGGCGTTGGGTCCAGCGGGGTGGCGGCTGTGAAGCTGCTGTGGTCGTCAGTGGTTCCAGTCTGAGAGCTGGCGCTGGGCTGGCGGCGCTCTTCCGAACTGGGTTCTGTCAGCGTTAGGCACCGCAGGGGAGAGAGTAAAGTTCACAATGAGACCAGCTGGGTCTTCAGCCGGACAATGAAACCAGTCAGACGCTAAGGAATCGACATTAAGAGTGACATCTTCCGACTTCGACGCTGCAGTGGTATTGGGCTAGGTTTTTGTCTGGTTGGTTGGTTATTTGGCAAGGGAAAAGAAAGGGGAGGGGGATAGGTACAGGGAATAATGAAAATGCCATGTAACTATCAATAATTATCATAAGGACATGATAAGAAGATCCTCATTTGCCAGCACTAAAGAGCAAGCTAGTATCTTTCTGGAGAGAAGACAACATACGGAAAAAAGTATTAACAGCAACTAAACTTACTGTATCGATACAGCCTATGTCTATGACATCAGGGCAACTGCCTTTGAAAATCCCAAATAATTTAATCAACAATAAAAATTCTCAATATTATTCGAAATTTTAACACACACATATATTTGAAAGGAATGAAAATATATTCCGGATTCTAACAGAACTGGTGGATCAATGAACGTAAATATGCAGAATGAAGGCTTTTTCTCTCTCCTGCCAAGGAATACAAATTTACAAGGTGGAGAGAAGGTGCACATTGTTCGTAACGAATGCAAGACTACTCCAGGGAATTGACAAAATCTTTGCTTTTTAGTCTAAATGCTAATAGATCTTCAGTTCTATTACCAGAGTTTAGCTTTCCAGGGGTAAGGCAAACAAAAATAAAAGACTGTTAATCAGACACTTGCTGACGAGACATCCTGTGAATCTGTTTTTGAAATCCACTTGTATGCTACCTCACACACCAATCCCTCAATCTCTCTTTCCTTTAGAGTTCCACTGGTCTACAGCCCCGCATATATCCTTAGTGGACACTTTTCTCGGCCCACTTAGCTTTACTTGGGGCTCCTCGGAGGTACATACACAAAAAGCAGCAGTGAAACTTTCGAGCGCCAGCCTGGGTTCTTGGCTTGGCAAGCCACAACCTTCGGTTTGCAGCGCCCCCTTCCACTGGACGATTTAGGATTTCGCTTTTGAACTTGGAGCAAAAATTTCAATAGTTACATAATCTGGAGGGAGGCTCAGAAAACTTTCATTTCCTATTTAGAAGTGCGGGCACTGGATTGTGTCTGGTAAGAAACACTTAGGCAGCGGGTTTAAACTTCATAGTCCTTCGAAGCTGCGACAGCAACGTTTTGACTGAGAAAGTGGGGATTCCTTAGCCATCTCCCGCCCCCCTGTCCCCTTGGTTCCCTAAGCATCTGGTAGACCGGAAACCTTCAGTTCTGTTCCAGGTGTAAGTGATACCTATCTCGTTTTGCATTGGATGCCTCACTTTTTCCTTATTATTATTATTTTTGCTTATCTTTAATATGATCTCTCAAAATAGCCCTCCTCCCTGCTCCCCAACTGGTGAAGCCTGATGGACGAGTCTCCGAATGGTTTCTAACCCGGGAGACACTTTTTCAGCGTCGCTGTTCCATGCCGTTACCATTGAGTTTCACCAGGTTCTCGGTTGGGGAGGTGGGCGGTTCATTTCTTTGCTCCGAGGTTTTGTTCCTTCCTTATTCTCGGGGTTAGCCCCCTGGTGAACGAGGCTGCTTTTCTCTCTAAGCTGAGCGCCCTAGGGCTCCTCTCCGCCCCCAAAGTCGCTGGTTACCTAGAAACACTCTCTGCGCCTTTAAACACGTAAGACTTCTCCTGATTGCAGCAGCCACAGCCAGGAGCACAGAGCCTCAGGGGCTGTAAATTAGGGAGGGATAACTACTCCTGTCAAAGGGCTTTCTTCCCCATATTCAGACTCCAGTGACACCCCCAGGTTTCCCTCCCCTTTGCAACTTTTGGAAGAAACCATGAAACGTACTATTGTGGCTAGGGTCCTCAGTGGAGTTTCCAAACCTCGTCCATTGGTGGACAGTAGAGAAGAAAACTGCTGGAAACATACTCCTGGGGCTGAGAGTGGGAACAGGGATGAGGGTAAGGTGAAAATGTAGCAAAGTTGGAGGTTAGAGTTAATTTATTCTGAAAATTTCATTAAACCATAATAACTTTAGCACACTACTGCTAACAAATACATTTAAGATCAATTTCCGAGTCAGGCAGATTTTATTTCTTCCAGCTTTTTGCTTTCTATGAAAAGTTTCACATTAGCTGAGATAAATGAGCATTCATTGGCCCCAATGCCATGTTTATTTCCTGATATATTTCAGTATGGGGGTGTGTGTGTGTAAATAGACTTCAGATAAGGCATTTACAACCTCCTTATTGACTTGGAGCACTTATAAATGGCATTCTTTGGAAATATTACTGGAAAACTGGAAGAAAAATATACACCTACAATCTGTGTACCAAACAATACCTTTCCCAACACGTCTGTAAGACATCTTTTAGGAGGTACTTTCAACGTTCCTATAACTTCTCTCTACCGAGAACTTTCATTTCAGTCATTTAAAAAATGACTTCGTTCTACTCCTCTAGAGCCACGAGCTTTTTCAATTAACAATAAAAAAAATGAAAAAAAAAGTAATTTCTACATCAAACCAAGACTGAGAGAACAGGAAAACCACACACACGTGCTGGGTCACTAAAGTTGGTAATTACAATTTATTACCTCCAAAAGGAAAAGAGTAAATGTGAGAAGAGCAGATGCAGGGCAGACGTGCCTAGAGAAGCCCCTGTCTCATTTCATTACAATATGCCACATTCCAACAATTACCACTGTGCTCCTCAGAGCTGCTTCTGTAGCTCCTGCAGTCGCTGCCCCCCGGTTATTTTCCTCTCATCCCAAATCCAATCAACCTGCCCTGTAGTTTCCATTAGGTACTACTAACTTGTACCAACAAAATCACCTATTTTCAAGCCTACTTAAAGAAGGAAAATTACTGCCATTCATCACCAGAGCTGCAACTCCCGGCCGCCGCCGCCGCCGAGAGCATCATTTCCATGACAACAACCAGAGCCTGAAATACCCAGAATAATATCGCTGGAGCAGCTATTGCACAAATCCTGGTCCTCCTCTTTGTTAAAGAAAAAGCCTCTCCAAAGAGGGGGAGAAAATCACACGAACTTCTAATCACCCAGCGGGACTCATAGGGGGTAAAAGTTTCAGATTAGAGTCCTCGGGACTCCTTACAAAACGACTCATTTGTGGGGAGCGAAGAGGAGAAAACCACAAAAAGTTGTCAAAATCGGTAGCTACCAGAGAGCCCTCCGAGCAACTTTTAGCAACTCCCCTAAATAGCTCTGCGAATCTCATACGTACTTGGCTGCTGTGGCGGTTCCGTCTTTATATCGAGTTTATAGAGGACTGCCCCGAAATCTTCATGGGGGAGTAGTAGCCGAGGTCCCGGAAGGGCTGACTTGTACAAACTGAGGAACTCCCGGAGGCTGCGGGCTCGCAGGAGATGCTGCAATCCCAACTCATGGGAAAGCAAGGAAGAGGAGCTCAGCGGGCGCCCTGGCTCCTGCCGCTCCTGAGCCAGGGAATAAGGAATAAACCCAGAGAAAAATGCAGCCGCGCCGCTGCTGCCGCTGCTGCCGCTGCCGTAGCCTCCGTTATTCCCGCTGCCGCTGCTGCTGCTCCTGTCGGGGTGACAATGTGAGCCGGAGGTGGGGTTCGCCGGCGCGGCTGTGCACCGCAAAGCTCGGTTGGAGAGGTGTGTAAGCGTGTTGGAGAGAGTGGAGTGTGTATGCAAGTGTGTGGTTCTAGGTGTGTGTGTATCTGGGGATGAGTGTGTGTATTTGTCAGCGTGTGCGCGTTTGTGTGAGAAGGAGAGGTGCTGCAAGCTGGGGGGAGGCAGGAGACTGCTCTCCCGGCTGCGCGCTCGCTTGCTCTCTCCGAACGTCATTTATGCCACAGGAGCCCTAGCGGCCTCTCCATAGAGCTCCTGGAATGCGAGACGTCAATGGTGACGCCATGGGACGCTCACGTCACCCTCCTCCTCCCCTCCCCTCACCCCGGCCGGTTCCGCGTGTGTGAGTAAGGGAGTGTGTGTGTGTGTGTGTGTGTGTGTGTGTGTGTGTGAGCGCGCGCGCGCTCACGCGCGTGTTCCAGTCACTCGCTCTGTTTTACAATGGAAGCTGAGCACAGCTGCCTGTCACTCTGAGAGACCCTAGTTGATGGCTGCTAACCTCTGCAGAACACGTTGATTCTTGGACTCTTGTCTGAAGACCGCTCATCTGTGCTTCTAGACAGAGACTGTCCGCTCAGGTTGCTTGGGCTGGGGCGGAATAAGAGAAGAGGTGTTGGCATGACTCCAAGACTGCCCAGAGTGTCCAGGAAGCCTGGGTGAAAAGGAGAACAGTGCTTCATAAAGTGAAGGATTTGTCATTCAGTTTCACTGAGTGATCTACCTAGCAGTGGATGCACAGGGGTCTGTCACTACAGTTAAATGACCCTTTTGCAGTGAAACTTCGTCTTTCTCATGTAATGACTTCCTAAAGTTGCTTACTTTTTATACAGCCCTCTGCAAAGAGGGTTCATTAGCAAGCCTCCCTCCAGACTCTGGTGCGTATTTTGCACAGTGTATGAGGGTTACTTTCAGGGTGAAGTTTTATTTCATGACATTTACGTTATTGTTTGTCTAGCTGGGAGAATTAAAATCATTGAAAACACAAGCACAGCATATGTATGATTTAGCTGAATTGGTCTCTTGTTTAGAACACACATACAATACATCCAGACCACGTCAAAAACTGAACACAAAAGCTAGCACTTTTACTTTTTGCACATTGGAAACGCTTTCTTCCGCATGTCCCCAAATTAAATCACTGTGATAATAAGATTTATAGCAATCAGTTACTCGTTTGAGCATTTGGTTTGGATAGATCGTCCCACTGTGTGATGGAATTACATGCAAAAAAATAGCTATTGACCTTGTGAATATGAGACTCTTCTCTCCATCCCCACCGTCTGGAAGTTGTTTTGAGTGTGAATTTCTCGCTGAGAAAAATACACAAAGTGTCCCGAGACTGGACGCCGGCTGCTGAGTGTTCAAACAACCTTTTGGACCAAATGCTGTGGAGTGTGGTTGTCTAGGTAAGTCCGCACAACTAGTAACCGTCCCCGAGGTTCTCTGCTTGAATGAAACCTGACATTGCATCTCTTTAATGTGTCACAATTTTATCCTGAGACAGGGGAACTGGCAATATATTCCATTTCAGGACTCCCTCGGAGAAGGTTAGGGAGGGGACAGGAATCTAGAAATACATACATATATACACATATGTATATACACACATGCGCATGCATGTGTATATGTATGTACATGTATATATTCCACCCTCTTCGCCCCCTTCTCTCTTTTTTCAAATGGGGAGGGCAGCAGGGAGCCGAGTGTGGGAGAAAGCTCGGAAGGTAGCCCAGTACTGCGGAACACCGCCCTCTTTCTCGCTGCTACCAATCCAGGGACTGGTGGAGGGCGCTGCTACATTGTATCTATTCAAAGGGAGACGGACAGAGAGCAGCTAGGCGCTGACGCACGGGAGGCGCGTGATTGACGCAGGCGAGGTTTCTAAATTTAGCAGTTGGCCGGGGCCCTGCCGCCGCCGCGCGCCGGAGATAGCGGAGTAGGTTCCCCTCCGTCACCTCCCCTCCCCCCAGCTCCCTCCTCACTTGCTCCATTCAGGCGCGGGCCGGGCTGTGATCCGGCCGAACCAAATATAGCAGTGGGCAGTTATTTTTAGACCCGTGGGCCCCGGCGCGCGCTCCCTGCCCTTCCCCCTTCCCCCCTGGCCCGGGCACTCCTGGTGAAAACCCGCAGGGAGGGGGCGCCCTGACCCCGGCCCTGAGGACCTCGGGAGCCTCCTGGGTGGGGGTTGGGGGTGGTGCGTGCGCCGGGGGACACTCGCCATTTTTGTCATCTTAGTCTAGTGACCCGGGCCGAGGGGGACCCTGCTCCCCTTCGCCTCGCCCCCATATGTACGTGTACACACACACACACGTGTCGGCGCAGAGGTCGGGGTGAGTGGGAGTGAGCGGGTCTCTCGGTGCGGGCCCCCGGGAGGGGGAGGGGAGGGGTAAGGAAGGAGGAGGGGGCGGAGGCTCGGGCGAGCTCGGGGATGGCCCGAGGTGCCCAGCGGCCGCGCGTGGGGGCGGAGCCGCAGCAGCAGCAACCCCAGCTGCCGCCGCCGCTTCCTGATCGTCTGGGGATACCCCTGGCCGGACGTCACGGAGGAGCAGAGGAGGTGGCGGCCCCGGGGCTCATCCTGCCCTGACATCACGGGTGCAGTGGCGGCGGCGGCGGCGGCAGCTGCTGCTGCTGCTCCTCCTTTGTAGCTTCCCCCCTTGTTGAGTAACTGCTTTGTTAACTGAAAATACCATGACGGGCCAGTGTGATCACTAACTAGCTCCAGACCTCAAAGAAAGTCGGGGAGGCTGTCAGGCAAGATCGGGGAGACTCCCCCACGCAGGCTGTGATGGTATCTGGTGGGTGGATGTGTGGAGAAGCATCTGACAATTTCCATGTATTTCTTCTTACCTAACTGTGCACCCTAAAGAGGTTTAAAAATACTTTTATTTCCATGGTGTAACATTATAATGTGTATTCCACTGCCCTCCTCCCCTTTCAAAGGATCAAAATGCATTTCTGAAAAAGACGCAAAATTGCGATGAGCATGAAGAAATCCTCAAATAATGTGGAAGAGTCTTGGGGGAAAGAGCCTTGAACTGATTTATTAAATGGCAAAAGTTTTCAGCAGTTAACCATACAAATGAGTATAGAGAAAAAGTGGAATTTTATAAGTAGAAGAGAGGCCTTAGAGAACATGTAATCGGATTTATTTTAATTACATTAAAAATGAACAAGAATTTACAGCTCTTTATTTTACGGGAGGTAGCAATCGATGTAACACTTTGAAGTGTGAAAGGTTCTTTATATACTATCACACTCGATCTTCACAATAACCCCTTGCAATTATTGTCATACATATTTTACTATGGAGGAAACAGGCTCAGAGGGTGACTTGCCTATGATCACACAACTGTTATTTGCCAGGCTGGATTCCAACCTCGTTTTTACTTGACTCCAAACCCAGTTTTCTTTCTACAACTTTTTGATATGATTGCACCACTTGCAATAAGGCCATTCTTTGTCAGCTCTTAATACTTATCCTAACATTTCTATAAGCTCCTTCACTTGTGTTTTCAAAATTGTGTGTATATTTGTCCTTTATTTCTTGACATCTCTTCTAGCATAAATAACTCAAGGTAACATTTTCTCACTGGGTGGTTGTGTCACTGCATTCTATAGGATGATGATAATTGTTTTGTGCTCTCTGTAACTTAGGTTCATCAGGTTACTTATTCTGCTCCATGACTCTTCTTCACTTGATGTTACTTGTTTGACCCATTTCGTGCAATTAACATCTCCTTAGCTCATTATGCTTCTTAAAAGGAAATCTAGGTAGATATGAGATTCTAGTAATAGTTGGGATCTCAGTTACATTCAATTTGCAATTATAGATAGTAATGGAACTAAGACTTCTTACAAATTATTATTTCGTTTGGGTCTCTGATTCCATTACACTCCTAAATTCATGTGGCGCCCAATTATTTCATCTTTAGGCACTGTCAGTATTTATTAAGTATCTGCTCTGTGCAGAGTACTGTAACAAATACTGGGGAAGATGGAAAGGTTAACAAAACAGCCTCTGCCATTCCTGGTACCCATAACTTGGTTAGGGAGATGAAACACATTTGAAATAAAGGACTATTATGATACAAACTGCTTACTAGATAAGTGTATGGAGAGGTTCACACCAAGTTCCATGTGAACACCTAGGAGGGGTAAGATAATTTGTGAAGGGGGAGGAGGGACCAATTCTTTCATGAAGGAGTTTGCATTTGATTGACCTTAAAGGACAGGTATAATTTTTCTAAGATGGAGTTTTAATGAAAGCATTCTATGCTATCAGGAAATGATACGATCAAACATATATAAAGGTTTGAGATGTGTATGGGGGACAGGGAGTAGTCCATTTTAACTTAATTGTATTCTACCCCTTTCCTCTCTCCACCTTTGGAAGACCAGAATACATTTAAAAATATCTTATAAAACTGGAAACAATGTAAAGTAGAAATGCTTAAACAGTACACAAGTCTTGGGGAAAAGACCTTTCTTTAAAAAAAAAAAAGGCAGGCCTTGAATTTTTATGCTAAGATGTTTGAACTTAGTTCAGTAAGAAACTGGTGAAGGCTTTTAACAGGAGAGTGATATAACAATTATTTGTATTTTTATAGGACTTTATTTAAAGTTTATTATAATCCCATGAGATTAGATCTGTGCATGAAGCTACTTGAAATGAAAATAAATGTTGACTATTTCCATTAAACATCTGATGTTTTATGGATTTTAAAGTGGACTTATTAGTAACATGTATATGTCTAGTTTTATATTATATGGATATATTATAAATAAATATAGAATTGATCTAAACATGTGCTTAATTATATACTTTGATTAAAACAAAATGTAGGAATAGAAACTGGACCTATGATTTCATTGGTATAAAGAACTCCCAGGTGAGGAAACTTTCTACCAACACAAGTTGGTATCTTCTTTGCAACTTAAAGGGTTAAAAGAGTTGTCCAGAACGGGGGTGGTGAACTCAAACAGAAACAGATCTCTGTGGAACCACTTGTAAATATTTTTATTTACATTGTAATGGATTTTTAGAAACAGATCCCCGTGGAATCACTTGTAAATATTTTTATTTACATTGTAATGGATTTTTATTTATTTTGTTAAACAGTTCTCAATTACATTTTAGTCAAGTTCCAACAGTTTGGTACCCCTGGCCTAGAACACTGAGAAGTTAAATCACGTGTCCAGGGTCACAGAGCCAGTAGGTGTTAAGAGGTGGAACTTGATCCTAGGTCTTTTTGGCTTCAGGGCCAACTCTCTGTCCACAATGACAATGCTGCCTCTCCAGTGAAGTATATAATTCATATGTAGTAAAATATAAAAAAAGTGACAGAAACTGTAATGAATATTTGTATATATCACATTTTGAAAATCCATAAGATAATTAGACTATTATATAATTTGCTTAATTATCTGATTACTTTCCCCATTAATTTTAAAAAAATTTTCTTGCATAGTAAGAATTTTATTTATTAAAATGTTCATTGTAGGATACTCAGCAAAGCAAGAACATCTGAATTAATGAGATACTGAAAATATAGCTGCTTCAATGTACATTTCCATCTTGGTCAGCATAGAGAAAGCAAATTGTGGTCATCAGTCTCGAGAGCCAATTTACACTACTCTTAAAAACTCTATATTCTTTTGTGGGTTCAGTAGATTGATGGTACCTTCCACTTTGCTTTGGTTTTGTAGGCCAGGCCTACAATAAAGTATTTCTTTTTCTGAGAAAATAAAATAAAGCCTGGAGAAGGTAATTTTGTTTGAGTTGGTATTTATTTTAATAAAAATGAATTTTAAAATTGCTATACGTGCTTTTTTGATATAGCAGTGATGAAGAATTAGTTTGCTATTCATGAAGAACTGGAAGGGATCTTAGAGATCATGTAGTTCTGTTCCTTCATTTTACAGATGATAAAACTGAAGTCTAGCAGAATTAAGTGACTTGCCCTAAATCATAACAATATTAAATGATAGAAACAGGATAGAAATTGGAGTCTCTTGACTCCAGATCTATCACTCTTTCCATTATACTGCACGACCTCTGTTGATACTATGTAGAGAATGGTGAGTCCGTAGAGAGGGAAGTTTCTTTAATGAAGAAAATTGTCTGGATAAACAAAAGTAGTCCAGCATGATCTCATACTTCTTTGATATCTTTTACCACTCAATGTCTATTTCACTCAACAGGCAATTATTTAGGACTTCATTTTGTAGTTACCTGTGTACATAAGTAAATATGTCTCTGAAGATAAAAATGGGGAAGGAGATATTGTTTCGAGAGATGGCTTTTCTAGTATTACTGTAACTATATGGTCTAAAACAGAGATGTCAAGTTTCCAGTGATCCACAAAACTTCCAAGTGTAGCCTGCACCAGATTAAAATGTAATTGGGATGTGTTTAACAAAATTTAAAAAAATACAATACAGTATAGATAATGTTAATTTATGTTTTTCTAAGCCAATATGGCGTTGTTTCTATTTGAGTTTGACACCATTGATTTAATACATAATTTTTTGTTACACTGTTATATGACTTTTAACTATATAAATATTTAAAATATATACATATATGTATATATTTATATATACTTATATGTGCATTTATACATATATGTGTATATGTGTATGTGTGTACATATACATTATATATACATTTACAGTATATATGTACTATAAAACATATACATAAATCTTAATAACCCTAACAGTCTTGGACTTTATAATTTTTCAGAACAATCCGGTTATACCTATTACTTTTGTGTTTTAGAAAATTAAGTATGATTTTCTTCACCCAGACTTTTGGTCTCTTTTTATTCTGACTTTCTTTTCTCCTTATCCTCATATACTTGTGTTGAAATGTGTACAGTGAGCTAAGAATTTAAATTTAAATTCTGTAAATTTTCTGTGTTTTTATCTCAGAAC